ACTTCACGCAGACAACAGCCACAGCCCGCTTCTGGACCATCTTAAATTTAACATGGCCATTTCCTGTTTTCCGTTATAAAATTTAATTACTCTGCACTGAACTGTTGATTTCATACTGCGTTCAAAAAAATGTAACAGACTGGCATACAAAGGAACACTGAAACAGATGATGATGAGTCCTCGAAGTTAACGAGATGCATCCAGACGCCTTGTCAATATATCAATATACAATCTCTTCAAAAATGTGCGATGCCCCTCAACAATTGAATGAAATTTTGCACTTTCATTGCCAGTACTACTAGTTTGAGGCCTACCAGTTGTCAACAGGTTAACTAATCCTCACTTTGCTGCCACAGTATCCTGTGCATCACCCTTTTCATCAAGACTTTTTTTCCCCGCAATGCCGACAAACCTTGAATGCCATCCGTTAACACGCTTAATTCTTTGCTTTTATATATATCTGGGATGAAAACTAAAATTCTGCTAAGAATTACTAATTAAAACAAATGATTACGAACCGTACAAATACACTGACATATATCGAGGTCCCAGAGTGCAACAACACCGTAGCTCGTTGCGCAAGCGGCAGTTTTCTCGTCCCGAGACATGCATATGCCCGTAACAACGCCTGAAAAAAAATCATATTTACTGTATCTGAAATTTTTGCGTAGAGCAAAATCATCCATTTATCAGCAGCACAATAATTCTATCCTAGACCAATTCGCAAAACAAACCTTGGTCATCGTTTGTCGCGCTGATTTCACGATTTTGATTCTGGATATTCCAGATATCAATACGATCGCCGCATGCCGATAGCAAAAAATAGTTATCACTCGTGATCTGAAACTACCCGCTTGAGAAGAACAATAAGAAAAGAGCACTGGAATAATAATACTGCTTTTTGAGTCCTTCAAAGACCACTGCAGATGTTGGAAATGCTAGAATTGAAATGATGTATTTGTACTGTGTCTGCAAAAAGGAGGGTTGGAAATCCTGAAAGAAAGGGACGGTGCATCCGAAAGCATACCTTAAGGGAAGTAACCGGTTGTACATTCACACAGTTCAGTATATCCAAAAGTTTCCCATTGTGGATGTCAAATATGTAAATTTTAGCAACAGTAGCAGCAAACAGTTGGCAGTCATCATGAGCAGCAACCATTGCAACAACTTTCCCATCGTGCCCGGATAGTTCATGAAGTTCTTGACCGGAAACTGTCCCAAACACTCGCAGAGTCTCGTCTTCGCATGCCACTGCCACAAATGCATCGTTGCTGAAATTTTGTAAAAAGCGATAAACAGTGCCTTGGAACAGCAGGGGCTAGAGTCATCGTACGTTTGTGCGACAGACTCTTCGGGGTACAAAAGCAAATGTTTGGCTCAATGAATTTGACCTTTTGCTTCACCCATCGCACATAAAGCGCCAAATTCGAGTTCGTGGCTTGTTTCGTTCTGAAGTTACAACATCTGGGCCTTACCTTTAACTTCAGACCTATGTATTTATACAAAGGTGTGTGTGTGTGTGTGTGTGTGTATCCTTGTTCAGCAACTGGAGCAACCCGCAGCAAAACCTGGAGCATTTGCAAAGAGTACCTGGTCATTGTGATACATGAAACGGGAGCCATGAGGCCAGCTAATCGAACAGCCAATTCACCTGTCGACAAATCCCAAACCATGACCACAAATTCTCCAGATCCTTAAAATGCTGCACAACTAGCACTCGCCAAGTAAAGTGCCTCTTTGAAAAAAATCATGATCAACACATAGCGCTAAGAAGACAGAAGGATAGCAATGAAAACATACCTGTAACAAGAAATTCATCGTTCGATGCAAGCGCTAACGAAACAACAGTGCCCGTGTGCTCCTTGAACGACCGTACTACTTTCCAAGTATCAACAAAAATTACCTGTAAAAATAATTATTGCAAAATCCCAACTGGAAACTGAAGAAAGCTGAGATGCACCTCTTACAAGCTCTACCAAAGTGTCACGAAAGGCGAAGCACTTTAGAAGCGCGGCGGAACACCTGCGCTTGTTGATACATGCATCATACCCTGCCTCCCATGCATAATATGCAAACTGTCAAAATAAGATTCTCGGGGTCTTGCATCTTATTTAAGGAAGACTGACGTTTGTCTGTCTTCCTCTCTTCTCAGGTATATTGAATTACCATCTCTCCAAGACGCATTGAAGCTTCATTCTTCACTATCTTTCTGCGCTGGGAAAGTATTTTTGTCACGGAAAGAGCCCACAAATCGCATTCTTCAATAATTTGTGGAATCCTTACGCGTTGAGTATTATGGAATCCGGTCCATTCTATGACGAAACCATCACACCTATGATTCCAAGCAATTTCTTTCTTCTCAACAACAGGCCTGCCACGCAGAACAGTGGCTCTTTTTAAAAAATTAATGTCTTCCATACATACGCCATTTTTAATGTTAAGAGCTTGTTTCTCCCTCATTCTCATCTGATATTGTATTGTCTTGTGTTCTAACGCTTTCTCATTTCTCATATGTTTTGCACCTACATAGTTTTGATATATCTTCCACCAACGCTGGCATTTATGAACTGAGTCAGT